TTTACGCCTATAAAACAACATAACTTTAAAACCCAAAGAAGGTTAGCAGAATGCATTCTTAGCCATGTAAGAATGGTATTATCCACCAAGTCTTAGACTCAATTTTAACTGTGAAGCATGTACCATTATCTCTATTATCTCACTTCCAGAACTGTTTTCTTACAGATGTCAGGTCTCGTGAAAAAAGAGTTTATCGAGGCTTCTGATTTATTCAAACAAAGCAATGTTTGTCGTCTCAGATAGTGTTGAGGACTTTAATTGGAGAAATTCATGTGTGAACAATTTTACAAAACATGCTGTGTATTCAGTTTCAGTCATATTTTTACATCCTAGGAATGATATGTTCCAATTCCAGGATTCATTGGGTTTTTGTGAATATTACATTTTTTTCCCATGAAAATGCTGGACTACGGGACACATGTGAGACTCTTTTGAGTGAATAATGTGAGGTAAGATAAGAAAATCCTTCTTCCTTATTTAACTCTCACAGAAGCATCTCTGCAACTCAAAGCTGATCCTGCATTACATGTTACTTGTTAGAGGCTTTTCTCCAAAGCGACTTACATACTCAATACTGTGGGCAATCCCCACAGGAGCAATTTGGGGTGAAGTGTCTTGCCCAGGGACACAACGACATGCTGACTGCAGTGGGGTTTGAACCTGTGACCCCCTTATCCCAACACCAAGGCTCTATCCACTGCGCCACACGCCTCCATACATGTTTACACCTCACATCCAATGGATCAGAAACACCTTTATTTAGAATCAAGTTGAACCCTTCAAATAGAAAAAGGAAGTCGTTCTCTCTCTGCATTACTCTACCACCTTCCTTTATCCTCAAACATGTCAACCAGCTACTCCTTCAAATGCTAATTCTGCTCCCAGTTTCTCCCATATGTCAACCTCTACTCCAAGAGTGGTCCGCTTTGCATGCCAGAGCACTTGTAAAATGTTGTCTGCCCAGACAGAACTCCAGACTGTTCTCAAGCATCTACACATAAGCCAGTTTATTAATATTCTGCTGCCACCAAACCCTTGGCTGTCCTTTCCCTGAGCTGACCAGGTCATCACTTCAGACAGATCTGACTACTGCAGACTTCTGGCAACTTTACTGAGAAACAAGTCCATGCAGAACAGATCATTCATTCCTTGCCTTCTGTGAGAGAAAACGAATTGTTCTATATCTTATCACAAGTACGCCTTCTGACAGAATGTATTTTCCTTCTTTACTATGACTAACTCTCTAATAAAAAAAGTGTTTTTCCAGGCACTCACTCGGTTTGTAAACGTTACATTTAGTGGTTTGTTAAATTCAGTCTAATACAACGGGCAAATATTATTCCCAACCAAGTTATATCACCAAGGATACAATCAAATCTGATTATGACGCAAAACAATTCAGCCAACTGCAGCCTTCAAAATGTTCATACAGTTTAATTAACGGCTAACTAAACAGTGGAATAAAGACTGCACATTAAAACCTTAAGGTTGTATTGGACTGCATTAGTGTGACCTCGCTGTATCTAATAAACTGGCAACTGCTAGTTTTGTACAGTTCCTTTACTTAGGTATGTATTTCACACAGTTCATCTTACTATATTAGTGGCTTCATTTTTTTTTTTTTAAATAAAGTAGCAACATATTATATATATATTTATTTATATATTCGTCATTTATTTGTTAAAGCAAACTTTAAATCATAAGGTATCTACAGTAAGGTTGTTCTGCACAAATGGGAATCCTTTTCTGTTGCTCTTTCCAAGCTTACTGTTTTTCTGTAAGTGTTCTTCCAGGGAGTTTTTCTTTACCAGATGGTTTGAGGATGGAGGGAGTCATATGCTATATATATTTTCAAGCCCCTTGAACAACATTTAGATTTTAGGTATGCGAGGGTTTGATGTATATTTTGACTTGACCATTCCATGTAAACAGAACATATGCATTTTTTGTAACTGCTGTTGGAGCTATCTTATAAATTAATTATCTGGTAGAGGGTTAGTAAGTAACATATGTATTCAGCCCAATATCCAATAACCTTGGAATCTCTTCTCAGAAGACCGCATACGCTGATCACATTTAATCAGCAGTGCTGCAAATAAGAGAAAAATAAAGGTTTTTTTTAAATGCTAAAAATGACATCTATCAAATGTATCCAAGTTGATGGTTAGGAGCTGACTTTGTGTTACTTCACATGTAATACCATAGTTTGTACACTAGGGAGCAGAACAGAACATGTCTGGACCAGAGCCCTCACAAATTGAGTGCACACAATAACAAATCATTTAAATGTATTGACACTATATTCTCCAATATTCTATTTTGTTGTTATTGTTTTTTTGTGTTTATTCCGATGCTGTACATTCCCAGTCTAATTCAGTTTTTTAATCAGCAACTTTATAATGGCACAGACTATTTATTTATTTATTTAGTAAGTTCATGGTGAATTAGCAATTTCCCCGGAACTAAGGCATACATCAGAACATTTGCATTGTGTGTTAATTTTATTGCAGAGTCCTGCACAATCTATAGTCCCTGTGCTGCCTCATCTTTGCCCATTTTTATTTCCTCTCTCTCTCTTTGTCCATACTGTCGAAATATGCAAGTCTTAGACTCTTAGCACCCCCACTCTCTCCGCTGTCTTGTCACACACACAGTAACACAATGACACACACAACTCTCCACGGGAGAGTTGTGTCATGCTCTGTAGATTGGGTGTCCCAGGGTGATTAACTATTGATATGGAGCTCAGGTAACGCACCTGATATCTGGGTACAGGGAGAAAGAGAGGGAGGGGGAGAAAGGGAGGGGGCAGTACAGAGGGGGGGAGGGGGAGGTGAGAAAGAGGATGAGAATGATGCGGTAGAAAAGAGAGAGTGAAACAGAGAGAAATGTGGTATGTTGGCAAAGTGGGAAAGGGACACATGGAGAGAGAGATAACAAAAAGTGAACTGACAAAACACGAGTTAACTGTTGAATAAACTGCAATCCTATACAGACCCTTTTTGGAGGGGAGGGCGAAGTGGGCAATAGTCAACAGCAGAGTGGCATATTGTGATGAGTCAGGGCATAGCTGAGGAAATGAGATGCCAAGGGCAGTGAATGTATCGTAAGAGATTAACAGCATCAATGTGTGTGTGTGTGTGTGTGTGTTTGGAGAGCTGATGCAAAACAAATGGATCACTGTTAGAGAAGAAACATCCACTTGTCTCTAAGTACACACACCATGGCTATGCTCTCTAACCCCCACCCTCCAAAATGATGTACATTCCCTCCAGTTGTTTTGTGTGTGTTTAACATGTAAACAGACCTACCTGTTTGTGTGACAGTCAAGTCCATTTGTCAGCATTATTACAAAGACCTCAATACCTAAATCCTTTATCTCTGCCTCTTTTCTGCCTGAAAAGCATCTGTCCTCTCTTGCCTGTTGGGAGTTTGACCAAGCCCCTTTCCAAATGTTCCCTCCAGGTAAACTGTGACACAACAGCTTTCCTCTACTTCTACAGTTCAGGAGGGCGTACCATGCGTAATGTGCTGTATCGAATGAAAATAAATGAGTTGGTGGATCAATCAAGACTAAGACACAATCTTCAAAATCATAAGCTGGTACCCTATTTAATACTATACTAATGGCATTTTTGTCAACCTATAGAAATGACACACACACACACACTATTATTACGTGGCTCAGCACAACAGATTGCTGTGGAGAGCTAATTATTTTGCTGATTATAAAGATATATTACAAAGTGTTTTCACCGATATGGTGTAAGTGGAATAGAGTGCTAAATTCCAGCACCATCAGGAACTTTATCTTCCAGCCCTCCTTCATCAATCTTTTAGAAGAGCACACCGCACACATCACACACACACATCGCTCACACATACATCGCACACACACACACACACACACACACACACACACACACACACACACACACACACACACACACACACTGAGATCTGTGTATACAGTGAGATAGATCTATTTGTCTATAAAATAAAATATACTTATGCTTGGCTATATAGATGGTTTACATTGCATTAAAATGCAATCACTTTTCTTTAGCTAGGTTGTGAAAATTCTCTGTGTGGGTGGAGTGGTTAGAGCGTTTACCATTTACTTGAACATAAATCTATTTATTGACACCATGTACAACTGCAGAATTAATATATTAAAAGCCATTATCTACTATCTGATATACAAATAATGGTTTATGATTTATTAACCAAATAACAATAACTTTTAAATGATTAGAGCTGAAACAAGTATTCAAACTAAAAGTTAGTTTATTTTTTGATACATTTTTTAAGTCATTTATCAAACAATTATTGCATATATTCTCTGGTTCCTGTCTCCTATATTTTTAGATATGTTGTTTTCTCAATTTTATATTATTGTTAACGGATTGTCTTCATACTGCGTTTTGTTTTCGGTTTTACATACATCTAAATATCTCTATGCTGCTTTAGGAAAAAATAATGTCTTTGGATTGTGTTCCTTGGACCAATGAAGCAATTTAACAATCAATGAATGCAAAATACAATACATACTACAATTTACAAACCATTTAAAAATACCTTATTAGAAAAATTGTACATTGCTATATAATACCTAGCCTGCCTAATACAACTACAGCACAACTCACTAATAATTCAACATTTCACATAACAGTTCAAGTTTTATCTCGCCTTCAAAGGCAATATCTTTCTGTAATCGAATCACAACTGATCAATAATATATTTAATCTAACAAAAATGATGTCAGCCAGAGGAAAGAAAGCTGGCCCTGATGGTCTCCTTTATTAAAACTCACTAACCTATGGCCCATGAGCTACATCATCCCAAGTGTTGAGAGTATCAACACAGATACAGTCACCTGTTTCACAGTCACCTGTTTCTCAGTCACCTGTGTGGCCGATACTCCCCACTCCACCTTTTGTGTGCCTCACTCCACCAACCACAGGTTTTCCCCTGCGCCGCTCCCTTCTTCTCCATCTTGAAACCGCGCTAGCCCCGCCCCTGAGAGAGGGACTGGGTGTCAAATGTTCCCTCTGCCCGTCTTCGATACCCGGGGACCCATTTTACTTAACTGCCATTTTTCCTCACATTTGACCTCTCTAAAACTTTAAATTGATATAACATCTTCCACAGTTTCACTCCTCCACATCTACTGGGCAACTTTCAAACCACAAGGTAAGGCCGACACAGGCGAGCACTTACAAAACAGGTGTATCGTAAACTCCGAACTTTATTCGACAAAACTCCACTTTTGTCTTTATTTTTTCCACGCTTATAGTTAAAACAAGTGATCTGATATTACTTAAGTTGACAGGTGTGACTTTACCGTATTGTTTGACTGCTTTTACTGGAAGATCAGGTGCGACGGTGAAAGCCTCCTGAGAAGCAGGTGTAGCCAGGCCAGGTTGCTGTGTTGCGTTCATGTGCTTTGCAAATTCTCCCTTACAATAATGCCGCCGTAGGCGATTACTGAATTGTCATGAAGTATTTGTAAACTCACCAGTAGATTGATTCTGGTATTCTTATTTTCAGTAGCATCACAATGAAAGATTTACTTTTATTTTTGCTATTCCAGTTTTACCTTAAAAGCATAATTGTTTGCTTGCTTTAGGTAATCAGGTCATCAGACTTCAGGATTTTATGTTGGACCCTGTTTAACTCCAGAAGAGCAAACACTGTCATAAAACACGGTCAGCCTGACAAGCTGTGTTGGCTTGACATTTTACGAGTTATTATCAGAGTTTTATTTGAGATATCAAAATTGCACACGTCACTTTATGGTGCAGTTACTGTTTTTAGAAGATAAGAGCTCGATCTGAAACCTCTACTGTATGGCCTGAAAACATTCAAAGCTTATTTGGCCTGAATGCAGTGGATATTTCCTGTCAAAACGATCCGCTCATGATTGAACAATGTTGAATAAGTTGACATCCTCCATGAATACATTGTGGTATTGCTTGCCTTTACCTAGAGCCTGGTAATAAGTGAAACATTATAAATATATCAAGAGCAAGACAGGCTACTTTAGAAATTGTTAGATAAAGTATTAATAATATTACGGTTTTTAATTGTAATGTCATAATAGGCTTAAAGTTATCCAATGAATTACCATTGGTTAAATATATATGTTGTTTGACTACCTTTTTAACTGTGCATCCTTGTTTGCAACCATATTTCACATTCACCAGTGCTTCTTTATTTGAAGTACATTATATTAATGAGATACTGCTGATGGTTACTGGAAACCCTCTGCTTTCAATCTGGGCCTGTCAGACCTGTTCTTGTGTGCCAATGGTTGGGGTTTGGTGGAGGTAGAATAACATTCAGCAGTGGCATGTAAAGAAACATTACAGACATGAGGAAGGAGACTGTTGGAAGGAATGACGTTTAATATGACATTAAATGTCTGTCTGATCTTCAGAGTTACATTGAAAACAGCCTTGGACTGACTGAGGTAATATGGGCAGTTGGGTTTCTTATGCTGAATGCCTAGTAGGCTGGGATAATTACGTAGCTTGTATGTATAAGGAGTACACTTTACTGAGGATATTACATTCAGGCTTGTTTATATCCATGTATATCTTTTGTCAGATGCTGATGAAGCATACATATATAAGGGCAAGCGGAGAGATCTTGTTACTATTATAAACATCTCCTCGTGTTCCCTGGCATGGGAAAAACAAGTGTTATCGTCCCACCTTAATTTTGTTTTCACAAATTTAAGATCTAAAGGCTCTGGACCTTAGCTTAATTTATCGACAAAGAGCAGTAGGCTGCATATTTAATCTTATATTAAAAAGCAATAACGTTATCTTCCAGACATGACTGTTTTATTGACCTTCTGTAGACCAGACAATTTATGTTGGCATTTTAGATTAGATTATCATAATCTGTTTTGTGGTATGATAAACATTGCATGCAATTATTAAATTAGACGTTAAAGCTTTTGGCATCTCAAATTTGACCTGAATCTTGAAGTACACCCTGTGTGTAATCTCATTTTGTCTGTGTACTGTTTTATTCTTTCATTTTTTTCCAAAACACAAAGCTTTACTATTCTAGTCTTGCCAGTTGGCCTCAGGGCCCACATTTGGATAACATTGCAGCAAACAAACCCAAGATCAGTGTAACTCAATTATATATATGAGGCATCATCATTTGCATGACTGCCTTGTGTTTGACTTAATATCAGTTCTTGGAAGTCACATCTCCCCTCTCAACGGGGTGCTTTGAGCTAATGGACCCCCACTGTGGAAACAGCAAGGGTGTTCCTCCCGCTGAGCTAAATCTAAAAAATGTTAGTCCAGATTATGGTATTTGAGAATGATAATCACTGTAAAATTACTTTCTTGTCTCACTCTCAATAGATGAAAATAATTTTCTGTTAAAAAATTGAAAGCTGCAATACAAGGCACTTCATTTGAGATGATAGCAGAAATATGATGGGAATTTCTAATTATTTATGCCATCATTTAAAATGTTGTTTGTTGAGGCCTTAACTGTAGTTTGTTTTGCACAATAAACTCTTCTGTGATGTCGTTTTAACAGATTCAGTTATCTGTATAGTACCTGTTTGCATAATCATATAAAATAATGTATTTGATGTTCAAGGCAATGTCTTGTGTAACATTGTTATATGGTCCACATGTATTGTTTACTGGTAATAATAATCAAGTCTAAATGGGTAATTGTGATTAAATCATCACAATATGACAGTGTTGTAACATAACATTAATGTAGCTGTAGAAAATTATTATTATTTCACAATACCGTAGGCTACGTAGCTCCAGCTCTTATCTGTTTACTATAAAATATTATGCCTTCATAAACAGCGTTCTTTACAAAATGTTGAATGCGTTTCCCTCCTTTTGAACTTTTGTGCCTTATTCATCTCGTCGGTGTCATTTTCTATTCTTTAAATCTCTTAATCAGATCATTTCCTCGGCCCTCCCTGTGCGCAGGGTAACCAGACTCCATTGTTAGTAATTTAAGTCTTGACGCATTGCAGTCCTCCGTAGACAGTGGCTGGTTTCTATAGTTACCATCAACAGTCTGGGCTGAGAAGTGTTTGTAACGTTATCTTCAGGACATTGCTAAACAAAATGGTGGCCACCTTAAGTGCTTTTCCTACCGTTTCCGGGCATAAACTTCATATTGGTGACAGACAGGTGGCAGATACACTATATAATCCACTTAGGATGCTATCTGGTGGTCCCCATAAACAATATGGGCTGTGCCATTTGATATAAATTGAGGTGTAACGGTAATGACATCAGGAGATATTACTTGTTAGGTTGCCAGTCTAAAACATACAGACGCAGAATGAAATCCACACCTACAGGCACTTTACAATCTCCTACTCCCCTAATATTCTGTCTTTGGACTGTGGAATCACACTCCACACAGATAACACGCAGGTTAACAAAGGACCTCTTCAATTTTGTATATTTACTTAACTAGGTGTAGCACATTTTAATGCTGATTTAATACTCAACACATGTGTAACAATTGTTCTCAAGGTGTTATTCATTATTTTCTTTTGGCCTCTAATTGAATATTTGGAACAGCATATTCAAATAGATATTTTCTTATCTCCAGTGCGCCAAAAGGTAAGCTTTGAAAGGACATGGTGGGCTACAAATATGTAAATGAAGCGAGAAATTATTAATCAAGAGGTTTCCATTGTTAATGATTAATCCAAGTGAGAGGGGGAGTGTAGGCATATAGGGCAGAGGCTCTGACAGTGTGGCCTGATAATAGTTCTTTGTGTTTGTGAATAGAGAGGCCGAAGGTTTAGAATGACGTTGGTACTGCCCACACCAAGTCAGTGATGGCTGTGCTCAGAGAGGAGGGATGAAGGGGTGGAATGGAAATGCAGATAAAGAAAGGCAAAGGATAATTAGCAAAGGTACACTTGAGGATAAGAAACCAATGCAACCAAACATATACTGAGACGTTGTAATAGGGAATTACTCATAGGGACCTCCATAACAGCCTCTGGATTTCTACCGGTATCAAATAGCTGGCCCTTTCTCTACGCTTGGGATTCAACAATAGCTGTCTCTAGAACAATCTCTTCATTAGACAATGACAAGAAAATGTTTGACCCTGCCAGGGACAGGATTTCCAACATCTTGTAGTATAATGGTGATAATGATCTAAGAATTGGTGAAGTATCAGTGACAGGGGAGAGAACTTCAGAGTTGGTTAAGGCAGAGGCTGTGTCATTACTGTGTCTCAGAAAATCTCTATGTCAATGCTCTGGCCGTAACTTCCAATAAATCCGAGATAACTTTAAAGCTCTCTGGTGTACTCTTTGTTTTCCTGTTCTTTGCTCCAAGAATTTCATCCCAGAACTTAAACAGACAAAAAAATAGTAAAGACCAGATTGCATGAAGTTTGATGCAAACAATGTAAGATGTAAAATATTTGTAGATACAAAGTTAAGATGACAAACTAATTACATAAGTCTTCCCCTTCTTTCTTTACCTTCTCTGAGACTTGTGATTTCATGTCAGGCTTCTCATTGAAGATGAAAGACAAACAGTTTTTGGCCCATTTGCCAAACCTATTATTAATATTAAACATACAATGTATTTATGTGTCTAGACCTGCTGGACATCATTAATTATTATGACCTTTTTTCTTATGAATGTCTCTGTGTAACAATTGCTATTTGTTTTTATTGTTTCAGCCATGCTACTTCCCTCGTCACTACTACTCGTCCTTGGCCTCCTCCCTTGGAGTCCCAGTGCATCATGGGCTGCTAAAGTGATCGTGGTTCCACCCATCATGTTTGAATCACACTTGTATATCTTCAAGACGCTGGCCGAGGCTCTACACCAGGAGGGCCATGAGACCCATTTTTTAATTTCAGAGGGTCGTGGTGTACCCCCTTCCCCTAACTTCCACTTACAGCGCTACCCAGGGATCTTTAACAGCACCACAGCTGACAATTTCCTTCAGTCCAAAGTCAGCAACATTTTCTCAGGCAGACTAACATTTCTTGAACTTTTTGACATCCTTGACCACTACTCCCAGAACTGTGATGCTGTGGTTGGCAGTGTTGAGGTAATGACCCGCCTCAAGGAGGCCAAGTTTGACCTGCTGCTGGTGGACCCTAATGAGATGTGTGGTTTTGTGATTGCTCATATCCTGGGTGTGAAATATGCGGTGTTCAGCACAGGCCTCTGGTACCCCGCGGAGGCAGGTGCCCCAGCCCCCCTTTCATATGTTCCCGAATTCAACTCATTGTTGACAGACCGCATGTCTCTGCCCCAGAGGATCGCCAACACAGCTGTTTACCTGGTGCAGCGCTTTGGAGTCCGTTATATTGCATTACCCAAGTATGACCGGATTATGAAGAAACATGGAGTGACGCCTCAAGTGGCCATGTCTGACCTGGTGCAGGGCAGCCGGCTGTGGATGCTGTGCACCGACATGGCTCTGGAGTTCCCCAGGCCCACCCTCCCTCACGTGGTGTACATAGGAGGCATCCTCACCAAGCCCCCCAACCCACTGCCACAGGTCAGTACAGAGAGACACACAGGCAGGAAAAAAGCACATTCAGAGACTGAAAAATGTTGACGGTTTATGCAGTGTTTCACTCTGAGAGTACTTTTAGATCACATTATCAATATCAAATGAAGTGAGAAACTATTAGGATAAAATAACTGGTAAACAATGTAGTTTTTTCGCTAATCCAGCAAACATACCCAATACATTAAGCTATGGACTCAAACACCATATCAAATGCAATGTTTTCATATATTATCATTGCTATGAAACATATCCCACATCACTCTAATAAGGTAAAGTAATGTTACTGCATGGTTAACCATAGGGCAAAAATACTTGATGTAAACAAATGTATATGATGAAGTTCACTTACAAAAAACCCAAACACAAAATACACAGATGATTCTCTTTGTATTTTGTTCTTTGTCAGTTTGAGTTTTAGTATTCTTTTGTATATACCCTTTGCTTGTTCCATTTGTCTTCCCTTGTATTGGTAACTTGTATTATCAATCCTGCTACAATGCGATCCTTTATAGACAATGTTCGGTTGAGGATTGATTTTGAGCAGAGAGCGAGGGGAATCATGGGGAGAAGAGGCGGGTGGTGATGGGGGGGGGGGGGTTAGTCCAGCGTTCGTCCAGCGTTCGTCCAGCGTTCGGATGCCGAGAGCACAGGCTGTCGGTATCTACTGTGGGTGGTGTTGGAATGCCGCTCCAGCCAATGGGGAGCATTGTGCCGTTTTGTGAAGAGGGAGTTATAATGGAAGTGGAGGGAGAACGAGGCCATTGTTCTGAGCAGAGCTTTGGGGACACTGAGACTCTTTTATGGGGTCACTGAGGCTGCGTTGTAGGGACAGTAGGGCTGCACTGCTGGGACACAGAGTCCAGTGTGCCCCTGATGTTGCTCGTGCCAGTGCCAGCCATAACTGTCGCAGCTGGACCATAGGCCTCCCTCCATCTGCATGTCCTTCACTTCTATTACTCCCAACATGGCGGCTCCCTGATCCCCCACTGTCAGACCATACATCTTCACGCACCAGACCTAGTTTCAGAGTAATGTGGGTTACACCTTTGGATGAAACTAAGATCAGGAAAAGCGGAGAAGGAGGATATTGTTGGCCTCATTTTACAAAGGCGTGTCAAGACTATCGTTTTCACTTCCTCATCAAGTCTTGTCAGTCGGTAGAAACCGATTAGTGCCGCAGGACTTATTCCTTTTTCATTTGATATAACTACCGTGCTGACATTTAAAATGTTCCGGAAACTTTTAACTGATAGCCCAAAGTTACAGTATACTAGTGAGTATATGCCCTGTAGGATGGATGTCAGATGTAATTTCTTAAATATGGAATTCATGTGATCATGTAACAAGGTCAATGGGGTCTTTGTTTTCTAATGAGTCAGTCAACTTCCTTCAGGGAATCTCAAAAGTAATGAGATAATGGTGTTTACCGCAAAGAGATGTTGACCTCAACGTCCAAGTTGTAATCATGACTTGGAGCTCTGATATATCAGACATCAATCTGGATTTAAGAAGTGTCTAAAAACAAACAAACCTGGACACATAACTTCCATGGATATACCCTAATTTAATGCTAACTTGGTGAAATGACATGAGTCTATAGCTCCTCTTCAGCCCATCAACTGCATGATTTGGGGCTATTATCTTCTTCAGGAAATAGTTTTGGATTACCCAAAGTACCTAGTATGTGGTTTCAGGAGAGAAATACTGCTGTTTAATTTGAAGAAGAATTAATTAATTTGACCTCCGTTGTATTGATGCATGTATGAATGTTTTCGAATGGACTTTGGCAACTGTGGCTGAGAGGGTGTGTGGCCGTCTTTCAACCAGAAGGTTGTGGGTTCGATCCCAGCCCGTGCAGCCAACATGTCGATGTATCCTTGGGCAAGATACTTAACCCTGAGTTGTTCCCGATGGCATGGCCAACGGTGTGTGAATGTATGTGAATGTTAGGTCCTAGAGCAAGTGGTACTGCTCTGTATGAATGGGTGTGAATGGGTGAATGACATGTAGTATGTAAAGCGCTTTGAGGGGTCGTAAAGACTGGATAAAGCGCTATATAAGTACAGTCCATTTACCATTTACTTTAGATCAGGATATACATTATGTTCAACAGCACTGCTGATAGTTGAAGACAGGTTTGCTTACAGCATTTTTTTTTATTGACGTCCCCATAAGAAACCAGCATTTGTTTGGTTCCTAATTTTATATTAATTGATCAGAAATATAATTTTAATGGGTACAAATGAGTGCTTTGAGGATGATATCATGGCAAAATATGCTACTCTCAGATTCATTTATATGTTTATTTTGAAGCAAAGTGCAACAGGCAGCAATTCAGAAGAGATCTAAATTCATGTCACATTTACTGAAGAATAATGTTTGCGCAAAGGAAAGCATACTGTAGATTTTACTCTTGTTCTTAGGCTCTGTCTATAATAATGTAAAATCATTAGAAAATTATACCATTAAGTTTAGTAACCTATCTTAAGCTTTGACAGGAATAGCTGATACTTCTAAATAAAAAACGATTAATTGTTTTTTATTTATTCCCTGTTTTGTACATGTTCCTATCATTGCTGTACATCTACACTGCTGTTTTGTTTGGCTGTTTTAAAAAAAAAACAAAGATAAGGAAGGGGACATTTATACAACCTGTACTATACACAATATGATAACAAGAGATTACACTTGTTAAGCGGTTTATAGTTTGGGAGTCTCCTTGTATCTACCCATTGCTTATCAAATGGTACCCTTTGATGACTGATAGAGTTTTTCTGCAAAGTTGTGTAAGGTGTATGACATTTTCTATCAATTGTCTGTAAAGCTATAACTCATTCATCCTCAAGTCATGTGTGGGAAACATGCTTCAGTGATAAATGTTTATTTAAAGGGTCTGTTCCATTGATGTCAGCTATTTATCTGCTCACCCTCAGATTGACCTCAGCTGATTAATTGTAGTGATCAACTTATTTTTCCCATCCTGGTAAGATGATTTTGAGGGGTTACGTATGGTAACCCTAGTTATATAAACACAGGCGGAGCCCTCTACCTCTGGGGCCGTGTCTGTCCTATGCTGCTTGCTGAAGAGAAGTAAAGGATGGCAGTGAGGAGGCGAGGTTCCTCACTGCCATTGCAAAATATAAATGTTACGGCCTGGCTCATAGGCTGCAACAAAGATGGGAGACCAGACAAGTGAAGTGTAAGAAAAAGCGTATTTATTTACTATAACCAAAACGAGGGGTTATGTATGGTAACCCTTGTTATATAAACACAGGTGGAGCCCTCTACTGGACTCTATGGGTACTTCCCTTGATCCTATCATACAAGCATTCCTTCACTGAGACTTTCTAGACGTAGCCGGCCCCTGGGCGGGCCTATCTGAATGCACGTGCATCTCACCGCATAAGAGGAGGCCTCGCCTCCTCACTGCCATCCTTTACTTCTCTTCAGCAAGCAGCATAGGACAGACAGGGCCCCAGAGGTAGAGGGCTCCGCCTGTGTTTATATAACTAGGGTTACCATACGTAACCCCTCATTATATCTCTCACAGGCTCCGCCCTCTACTGGACTGTATGGGTACAGTGGGTGGAGCCCCGATGTATACACGAGCTGTCGTCCCACAAAAACACTGCTCCTGACGGGCTTTCTGGTTAGCAGCTGCTGCGGCCCACTCACCTCTCCCTTCCCTTGGTCGTAACCGTGGAGAGAAAAGAGGCTGCGGCTGACAGAGCACAACCTGACTATAACGTGGAGGACTCCCCCCTCCTGCCCTAAAGCAGGGGAAAAAGAGTCCTCCAACCCCTATGGGTCCATGTGCGCGTCACGTCCCTCCTGCGTAGCCCCAGCAAGCACAGACGATGAAAAGGAGCCAGACATGTCCAAGAGATAAAACTTTATGAAGGGGCCTGGCGTTGACCAAGATGCCGCCGTGCATATGTCCTCCACACTCACGCCGTTAAATAAGGCTGTTGACACAGCCATAGCTCGTGTAGAGTATGCACGGACCCCCGTGGGGAAGGCTCTCCCCGCCTGTCCCTAGGCATGTGCAATTCACTCGCAGAGCCAGCCTGCCAGGCGTTTCTTGGACAGAGCTTTTCCAGTTACCCCACCCCCAAAGCACACAAACAGCTGTTCTGTGTGACTAAGGGCAGCCGTGCACTCCACATAATATGCCAGCGCACGCACCGGGCAGAGGAGGTGTAATTTAGCCTCCCGAGCCCCACTATGGGGGGGAAGATTAAAACCCCCCTACTGAATAGCCCTCGACCTGAACGCACTCCTTAGGCTTTTGGGCACAAAGGAGGGGTTCGGTCTGAGTGTCGCCCCGCTCTGGTCACCCCGGATCATTAAACAACTCGGGTGCACCGATAAAACGGTTAACTCAGACACTCTGTTGGCTGACGTTCAGGCAAGTAGCAATGCTGTCTTCCACGACAGTGCTTTCAGGTGCTCAAAAGGTCCTGTGCACCAGCGGCAGGTCCCACTGCGGGGCGGAGGCGCGCACCACTGGGCGCAGCCTCCTGACCCCCTGAAAAAACTGCAACATTAGTGGCTGAGAAAAAGCTGACCTGCCGTTAAATCCTTCATGGCAGGACGAGATGGCTGCTGGATACACTTTCACTGTGGAATGAGCAAGCCCTCTGTCCACCAACAACTGTAAGTACAACAAAATAGATCCCAATTCACAAGATAGGGGCTCTATTTTCTGCTCCTCAAACCATCGCAGGAATCCCAGCCACTTCGGCCTGTAACAGGCTGTGGTGGATCCCGCTCTAGCTGCCAGGATAGACTGAATAACACTATCAGACAATCCACCCTGCCTTAGCCTGTCCCTCTCAGGAGCCAAGCCTGGAGAGGTTGGCCCATAGTGGGTAACGCCCCAATTGCAACTGCCTCCTGAGAGATCTCCCCCCAAACTTGGGGAGAGATCTGGCTCTCCCCAGGAGTGGGAGAATGAGACACAATGGTGGAAAGGCGTGAAGCAG